TTTGAGCTGTTCAGCTTTTTACCTCACATCACTTCGCATTAATATTTATATTAAGATGCTCCATCCAGCAAGAGCAGACCTGCAGACCGGCCTGGCAATTATTTTCTCCAAGGGCGTGCTAATTGTGGAGAGGAGAAAAGCAAAGCAGAGCATGGAATAACATGATGTTGGGAGCTTTGTAGCGGGTGTGAGGGAAAGCTCTGTGCTCAAAGCTCTGCAATACAAGCAACAGCCAAATAAAAGTGTAATATTGATATTATCGTTTCTGATGGATTGGAAGGTAATAAAAACAACGAGTTGGAACGTTTGAAATATACTTGCAACAGTCTAATATTACAGAAGTCTGGATGCAAAACTGGGTTGCCGAATCGGCTAATGATACTGATGAAGAATATATGTATTTATGTATATGCTTCATAGGGTTAGTAAGGTTTCCTTCTGCCTGTTACATTTTCCGCCCACAAATAAACCCTATTTACTCGTCGAGTACCAGGTACTCAGCTGTTTGTACATATGTACGAAAGATCTCTTCTATGATCTCTTTACTATGCCAATTCGCCTTTCGGTGTGGGGTGCAAGTGTCAAAGCATCAGGGTTGCCACACAGCTCAGCTAATGATAGTCGATTGGCCAGTTTAATCGATTAGCCAGATGGAGTGGTATGACAGGGAGTGACGAGACGTGGAGAGGTGGTCGGTTTTGGTGTCCAAAATGGTTATTGTGAACGGACCCACGAACAGTTGCAAAAGAGCAGGCAAAACACATGTGGAGGCAGGCTAGGCCAGGCTTAACTTACCAACTTACCAACAACAACTATGTACAGTGGCAACAGCAAGGCTGGGCAACCACAACGGGGAGCGGGAACGAGCGACGAACGGCTCTTGGTAAATCGCTGGACACCGAAAACCGAAAACCAAAAACTGAAAACTGCTAAAACCACAACACAAAAACTGCACGCGGCCCGAACTATTTCCCAAATTGTTGCCAAAGAACTTTGTAAAACTGATTTTTTCGCAACTGAACTGCTTGCAGTGGCCCACACGATCGAGACGGGAAGCCGACGACTATTAGCGCGCTTGACTTCTGAATGAAAACTGAGTTTCGCTCGGGATGTGGGGCTGATTAAACGCGAAAACTGGGGACGCGGCTGCCTGCCAGCCATCGGCCTCTCCGTCGTTGTCGTCGTCGTCGTCGTCGTCGTCGTTGTCCGCGTTCGCGTCCGCGTCGTCGTCGGCGTTGACGCCAACGCCGCCGTCAGCAGAGCGCAGGCGCAGAACTTGCAAAGCTTCTGGCTATGGAAACTTTACGGTCAGTATAGGTCGGTGACAAATGCAGCGAGAAAACTTTCCGCATCTCTTTACTGCGTCGAGTGAATGGAGCAGTGCAAACAATCTAATTGCCCTGGCCTCAAGCCCGGCCTGGACCCGACTCGAACTCCGACTCGAACCCGAACCTGAACCCGAACTTGAACACCTGCCTGACGAGCTCCTGTTGTTGATGTCAGCGGCGGATCCAAGGTTCAAGGGGATACACATATGTATACTCATATACTCATGTATGTACATCATTGTTGTCCATTTACAGGTTTCGCCCACTGAGGAATGCTTTGGAATGCTCCGATCAGATCTTTATACATGTGCAATGTCCAAGGGTTTCGAAATTCGTGTCAGTCATCGCGAAGAAACAGCGTAGCCAGGGGGTTGGCCGACTGTTGCCACTGTAGGACCCTACAATTATTGAAATTAACAGACTAATTAGACAAATCGATCAAATATTATGGCACGTTCATTCTGTAATTACCAGTACCCATTGCTTAGGGTACAAGGGTGACCGAGTATTAAACCAAAATCATATTTACCGACCGCACAAGTTTTCCTATAGCAGGTACATTAATAGCCGAAAAGATTCAATTAAACACAATGTACTCGAACAATGGTTATCTACAGACACCTCAAATGTACATATGGGGGTTTTTCTCATACATATGTATGTAATAAAAATTTGTTAATTGTTAAAACGTTTTTCTAATGATAACGTATCTCTTGAGTAGCCCTATAAGTTACAGTTTCGAGCGGGACAAAAATTGAAGCGGATTTCGTGGCCATCAATTCCAACTCTGCCAAATTGTATCCAATATATGTATTTTTATGTAAAATGGTTATATAATGGATTTAATTTAACACAAATTGGATTCCTATGTTTTTAAAAATTAAATTCTCGTACGGGAAAATAGTTTTAATGATTTAGATAGATTAATATGTTAGAAAGAGTTTGTGGAAAAATGGGCATACTCGTATGTATTATTGTTAGCTAAAAATGTTTCTAAATATCTAGGCGGAATAACGAATTTAGCGCTCCCACTTGATTGTCATTGCAAGTCATCTTTCCTCTGTATTTTTGTTTTCAATAAAATGGAAGGTTTTCGAACATATGTACATATGTACGTTTATACTTCATTTAGACTTCAAGTGCCATGGGAAACATGAACTGGTAATAACTAATCGATTTGGCAGTGAAGAACAATTGGCACGAAATTGTATTCTCGCTGGTTGGTAATGGACTAGCGCCTAGAACTGGATTACAATTAACCTTAATGCATGGGGTGGCCAATTTGAAAGAGCTCTGACGAGTTTTTCCAGTGTTTAAATAACTCAATTGAGCGCGCGCGCCTCCGCCGACTCTCAGTGGAAGTTACCCAACAATAGACTTGAGGTAAGTAGTGCCCTCGAGGCAAGCCCCAGCTCTAGACATCTCATCTCATCTCATCCCGATGCATTTAGTTATGTAAACGTGGCCGCCGGATCTCGAATCTCGGCTTGCGCCTGCACTTTGACAAGGTCAAGTGGGTGTCAAATATTTACCATCCAAGCGCGCAACTGTTTCCACCTTTCGGCCGCCTGTCGATCGTTGAGCGGTTATTGTTTGCCAATAATTAGTAAATTAAGTGATTGCTAATTTCGATGTTTAGCCATTGGCAAAAATTTCATTGTTATTAACGTTTTCCCCATAACCATTTCCCTCTTTTTGACTATTGCCCAGCCCAGCCAAGCCAAGCCGAGTCAAGCGAAGTAGCTCGATGACATTGGAGGCGCTACCGTTGGTCAGTTGCAACTGCGACTTGCAACTGATCTATTTCGGGTGCCAAGTGGGACTTACTTACAGTGTTCACAAGTACGTACATATATAATTGATTCCTAAAGACAACTTTAACTTTGTCATTGATCGACGTGGCCCTTTACATCATCCTGACCTTTTGCCCCTAACCGTCAGGTGCCATTTCTATTTATATTTGAAGATCAAGCGGCTTAGATCAATGTAGACTTGAATACGTAGCACCATACCCCAACTCTAGATTGCGATTAGGAAATTCGGAGGACTAGACACCCCCAACGGGTCAAAAAGTCATAGTCATAGAATGTGGCAATGAGTGAATGAATTCATTTGGTTTAAGTTAAGTTGAAATCTTGAAATTTGGCGCTTGGGTTCACCCTAAAAGTAGGCAACGTCTCTAGTCCGTTTCTTCTTTTGTGGCACATTGCTGGACCCATTTGAGCTTTGTAGGCCACAGTGAAGTAAAAGAGGTGAATGGCTTTTACCAGTTTAATATAAATTAATAAGTTTTATTCAGGTTTTCCATTGTTTTTGAACTTGTCAGCTTAAACCACATACATAACTTAATAAAGAAAGCAATACAGATTAACAGACAGTTACACCTATAAATGTACATGCAATGTACGAACAGGTCTTCTCGAACACCAACCTCCGCCCTTCTCGGAAGTGAAAGGCCCTTCTCAAACCAAAAGTAAGGAAAGGGGAATTTAATACAATAAGTAGCTATAAAGTCTAGGTACACAAACCTACATACATACATACGGAAGAGTATAAGCCACACCAAATGAAGTCCAATAAAAACGAATAGTTGACAACTTTTGGGCTTGGTTCACACGCCTTCCAAAAAAACTGATTGTCTGCTCATTACGCCGTTTTGCACTTCAGTCTAAAAGCTTTATCCCCAGATTCCGTCCGTCCGTCTGTCTGTCTATCTATCTATCTATCTATCTATCTGTATGTTCGTCTGTCTGTCTGTCTGTCTGTCTGTCTGTCTGTCTGTCTGTCTGTCTGTCTATCTAACTATCTGTTTGATTGTTTAGTTAGCTCTTGTGCTACACATAGGCTAGCTATCTATATCTCAAGAACTTCTCTTATCTGTATACATACTTTTACTATAAGACAAACTTTACAAAGTATTGCAACAAACAAACTGTTCTCCCCTCTCTATATACCGCATTCCTCCTTCGCCATCCTTCTCGATACATACAAAAAACAAGCTACAAATAGTTTAACGTGATCTTTCAGTTTAAAGCAGATCTAAGCGCAGTTTAGTTATCGTTTATCGTTAGGATTACGTCTCGACTGTTATCAAAAAGTGTCGTAAAAAAGTCTACAACAAGAGTGAGTCTATCGTCCGTATTCGAGTATATATGTATATGTAAATATATATAAATGTATACTCTAGTGTATACGCGTTGTGTGTATATGTGGTGTTGGTGGCATTGGTTGGGTAGATATAAATGGTTCACGATTCAATGGGGCTACAAATATCATTCCAAAATATTATTCTCTATCTATCGAGTGTCGAGTAGGTATCTGTGTCTGTGATGGGATCGTGAGGGTCTAAACTTGTAAACTTGTGCCACAATAGAAAACGTTTATAAAAAGTTTCGGCTTGCTCTTCTACACTTCTGCTTAGCTCTAGTGGGATTGGGACAGGACAGGACAGGGCAGGACAGGCTGTTCCGAATTGATTCGTGTATTAAATTGTTTTATAAGTTATTCGAAGAACAGTTCATAAAGCGAATGGTTCTCCGGGTTCCGGTTCCAATGGTCACACTGCAGCTGCTTCTTGCCCGTATTGTTCTTCAATCTTCAATGTGGTTCGGTTACACGCTAACACTTAACAGTAAACATAATGAATATCATCGTAGTAAATCTTAGTAGTAGTTATTTGACTTTGCGCTGATGCAGACTAGAGCTACTGCTGTCCGGATTCAGAATGGACTCGTTGCTGGACAACGCGCCCTCCTTGAAGAAGCCGCCACCGGCATGCCCGTTCCCGTTCCTCGAGACGTACTCGTCCTCCAGAACGGGCTGCAAAGAAAAAACATATAATGGCCAAATGAGTTCAAGTTCAGACTGTGGACTGTGACACACGTGTGTGTGCTCCGAGGTAAAGTTCATCTGCTATGGTCTTGGCAGCTGCGGTAATGGCAAGCCGCAGAATTGGGACTGTGGGTCTGCCTCAGCTTCTGCTTCTGCCTATGCTTGGGCCTTCGCATCCGGCTTCACATGTGAGCGCTAATTGAAACGTCCCCCGCCAGCGCTGAGAGTTTGCAAGTGCTATGCCTGTGCTGTTTGCTTAACTAAGCTAGTTAGAATTTTTAAGTTGATCAACAAAATTGATGATACAACACACAACTACAGTATAGTACCCACGCCGACATGACTTGACTCTCCTCCAACTCTGATCACCCAGGCACGCTTTGACTTGAATCGACCGGGGTGGACTCGAGTCGATGGGCCGACGCCCCTTTTGGAAAGCCGAGTTAATGTGTTTGCTAAGCAGCGGCTAATAAGATTCAAGGGCTACTTGCTGCAAGGTTGGCCAACTGCGCATTAAGCCAGCCCTGGAGTGGGAGCCGATGTAACACCTACCATGCAGGCTCCCTTATTGCTGCCGTTGGCTGTGAGTGCATCGTCGTTGCCCAAGTGCTTGCTGTGGCCATTGGTGTGCGGGCCATGGCCATTGGTATGGCCGTTGGCCTTGACAGCCTGCCGGCGACGACGGGCGGCATTCAGATATTTGGCTTTGTAGAAGTCGGAGAACAGGAACAGGAACATGACGCCGTGCAGGCCAATCCAGACCATGAAGCCCTTGGGGTAGTCGCAGTCGCGGAACAGCAGCTGGAACTGGTGCGTGAAGATGGCAACAAACTGCACCTAAAAGAACACACGGACATAGAGAGTTATGTATATCTTATATGTGGAACGTGGCAGTAGTTGATTTGTGGATTAATTACCATTTGGAAGGTGGTTAGGTACTTTTTCCACCAGATGAACTTTTGGTACTTGGGGCCCATTGCTGCGATCATGTAATAGAAATACATCACAATGTGCACAAAAGCGTTGAGCAAGGCGAAGAAAGTGCTGTGTCCACCTGGGATGTACATAGGGAAGGGAAGAAAATGTTTAATAAAGGATATGTGTATATATGAGACAGGGCGACACGAACCTGGGGCAAACTTAAGGCCCATCCAGACCGAGAAGGGCATGCAGCCGTGATGAATGACGTGAAGTGTGGATACGTGCTCGTTCTTTTTTCTCAGAATGAAGAAGAGTGTGTCAAAGAACTCGGTGAACTTCGATATGTAGTACCACCAGCAAATGTTGACCATCTGCAACGGAGGAAGAATGAGGATCGCCCGTTGCACATGGTGGCTTATCGTGGAGGTTGGCGAACACTTACCCGCAGCGCCAGAGGACTGTTACCATAGTCGACTGGCTGGCACTTAAAGCTGTAGTGGCCCCACCAGCCGCTCATTAAGTACTACAATGACAAGAGATAGGAATTGGTTGAGAGTTTGAAGTTTGTTCAACGGGGGGACGCACTGGGCGATTCTAACCTCATAGAAAATCCAGGCGCTGAATATCGTTTGTATCGCATTGTAAATGACTAGCACCGACCGCAGTTCCATTGGCTTCCGATTGGCCATAAGCCTCGGTCCCAGAGATGTGCTGAAATATGCATAGAATATGCACAATCCGAGAGTCGGCAGCGGCGACGACAGCAGAAAGAAGTCTTGCACACGGGGATCTGCAAAATATAAGCGGGTCAGAAAACCAGATCCATCCCCACATCCATCTCTCATCATTAACTTACCGCTCTTGTTATCCATGAGATCCCTGTACCACTCCTGGGCCTCTTGCACTATGATCGCCATTCTGATGTTGGTCCGCTGTCCGCTGCTGTCCTTCTGCTAACTCAGTGCTCTGCAGTCCCCGATGTCGGTTTAAAAAAGCTAACACAAAAGGAAATACAATTCATGTTAACTATGTTGTAGTGGAGAGTAAACAGCAAGGTCACTTGCAACAGGAACAGGAAGCGATCATTCACCCGGACATTCGGCATGCCGGACACGCCGAACAATGACATTGAACCCTCTCTCTCTGTCCAGTGTTTTGGGCTCGGACACGAACCATGAAGGGGGTCGGGGGCACATGACAAGTTAATTGGCGATGCATTAGAGATTAGTGCACACAATAAAATGCAAAATGCATGCAATTAACAATCTGCCCGTTAATCAACACTTGGGAATCGGGAAACTACATTACCGACATGTGTGAAGAGGGCGGCGACGTTCAGGGGCGTGACTTGGCCAGTTACTCGCCCCAGCACCTGCACCGAGAAGAAATTGCACAATGATCACGGCTATTTCGCAGTTGCTGGCAGACAGCAATTACTCGTAAGATGCCGCTGACTGGCTGGATTCCAGCTGGGGGATTCCAGCACACTGTGGATACTATACGCCTCAACGTTCGCTCGATCTGCTCAGGGTTCAGCAAGTTCAAGTCCCGATACAGGTTCTCGGCAACTGTCTTATGAATCTCAATTGATTTGTGTGGCATTGAGTTCAGTGAAACTCGAGACTTTGCTTATTCCGCGCCTGCACAAACGGCCTTCCCGCCCACGGTCCTCGTCGCCCTCGGCATGGTCCAAGCAGCATCAAAGTCATTTGCGCTACCGGGTCGCGGTTGAGGCCACTTCAGGTAGTTGCTTTTGAATGTCATGAACAATAAACTGGCTATGGAGATGGAGATGGAAATGGCTATGGCTATGACGATGGCGACGTAAGACTTGAGCAACTGGCTCAATAACCGTTGACAAAAATGTGCCGCTTTTATTACAGTTTTCGTTTCCTCAGCCAGCGCCAATTTCGCGTCTGTCGCAATTGGCTTCAGCGGCTGTGTGGGTCAGTGGCACGCTCTAAGGGGGGCGGCCACCGCCTACTGGCCTCCGCTCGAGGCATGCCGAAGGCGTGCAGCATCCGAGCATCCAAGTATCCGAGGCTCGACGACATTCAGCCGCTGTTTTTAGTCGCATATTTTGTTCGTGTTGTTCGTATTTTGTTTCGGATGAATTACGAAATGCTCGATGACGTTTCTTTTGAGGGATGGGATAGGCAATGGATCCAACTTTGGACAGTCAGAGGTGTTACGGGTTCATTCGAATTGCCATGGAAAACACAGAGGCAGAAAAAGGGAGGACCGCTCCCGCTTATATAATTGACTCGCTGCCAAGGTGTCAAAGTGCCAAGAAGATACAAGACACAAGATACGGAACACAAAGTGAAGCAAACAAAATCAGCAAATAACTCAGTGGGTGGTAAGGGGGGGGGGGGGGGGGGGGGGGG